GTGGGCTTTGTCCTCTCCCAGCTCCCATGCTTGCTGCAGTTTGGAGTGCTCACTGGATCGGAGCAGGGCTCCACGGCCGTTTCAGGCCCGTCGGAGAGAGCCAGAAACCAGCTTCCTCTCCGTGTAGCTGAGAACCGCTCCCTGCCCACAGGTGCTCTCTTGGCTTCCCTGGTCTCTGCAGAGCAACCCAGCGCCCAGTCCAGCCATGGGGGTTGCGTGTGTGTACCCACTCCAGCAGGCAGGCAGGCCCAGTCTCCCCTGCGCTTCTCCTTCCCCCGAGGGGAGCCGCAGCTCCAGCTGCATTGTAGCAGGGGCGGATCTAGGGGCAAATGGCTGTGTAAGGACTCGGCCCCTCTCACGCGGAGGAGATGGAGGCCTGAGGCGGGGGAAGGCTCTGAGCTCTGTAGAATCCCTGGCCAGGGAGGATTTTGGCTCCGGGTAGGTTTGTCCCAGCAGCCCACAGGGGTTCACGTGAAGCTAAAGCAAGCGCCCTGCTGCTATCTGGATCTGTTGATCTGCTTTATTTCATTTGGTCTGTCTGCTTTTGTGCATTGACTGCCATTACTTCAGCCTGTCCCAGTAACCCTCTCCATCGACATGGGATCCTTCCATGGGCCTTTCCCAGAGAAACCCTTCTGCTAGCTGGCAGGCCTGCAATGCTTGTCCTGTGCTGGTCTGGCGGCCAGCCCTACCCTCCGGCCTCATGCAAAGCCTGGCTCGTGTCTATCTGGGACCAAGGGGGGTTGAGGAGAGGCTGAGATTTTTGGAGGAAATGAAGTGGCTCGTCGTTGTCACCAAACACACACAGCCTCCTAAGGACCATGGTGCTAGCCAGACTGATCTCAGTAGATGGTGTCGTACCAGGTGTTGGGAAGTTCCCAGTGTAACAGGCTGGTCCAGTCACAGAGATCCCCAAGTGACCGTCACTGGAATACCCGAGCCAGACTTCCTGCCTTCCCTTTTCTCTGTCCTGTTGAGCCCAGCCCTCCGGCCTGCTCCAGCAGTGACACAGACCGGAACCCCAGATGAATCCGTCTCACTCTGCATTAAGGTTTATACGGGCTAAGCGCGCGTTGTTCCTTATGCGTCCTCTTCCTTCTGTAAGCAGAGGTGCATACAGCTGTCCCCTCCCCTGGTAACGTTTACAGAGAGTTTATTAATAAACACAAGTGATGTTATTAAGTTTATTCGGTAGTTATAAGTAAAAGCACAAAGAACCAAATAAGTCACTAAGCAACATAAAACAGGCCAGGGAAGCACAATGCACTAAGGTATTTGTTACAGGTACTGCCTCGCCCCAAGCGTAGTTCTGATCAGCTTCCTCCATGGTGCAAAGCCCCCAGCCTGCCCTTCCTAATGTTCAGTTTCACACCTTTGCAGCAAACATCTCAGCTAGTAAAAGGGGGTGTCGTGGGCTCTGGGGGCCTGGCTCTGAGGGCTCCCCCTTAACCAGGGAAGGCTCAGCTGGGTGCAGCCCCCCTCCCCCGCTCATTGGGACAATATTAAGTTTCACACCTTTGCAGCAAACATCTCAGCTAGTAAAAGGGGGTGTCGTGGGCTCTGGGGGCCTGGCTCTGAGGGCTCCCCCTTAACCAGGGAAGGCTCAGATGGGTGCAGCCCCCCTCCCCCGCTCATTGGGACAATATTAACTTAGGAGGAACTCCCCCATCAGGGCGGCCCAAGCACGGGTTTCGTGGGGACTCGGAGCCCCCCTCGCAGGCTGGCCCCCGGGGACCCCTCCCCGCAGATCGCGGTGCTTATCCACAAGCCTGCAGTGTCTGCGTGCCCCGGGCTGC